CTATAGTCAGCCCCCAAGCCCCCACCCCCGCCCCCTAGGTCAAAAAAGCTAATAAAATCATGGGCCACATCAATAGAATATGATGTCCATGACAAGCAGTAATAATAACATTGTGTTAGTTCAGACCACACGTGGAAGAGTTTATCCCCTCTGGGTGGTACATTCTAAAGAGATTGTAGTATTTTTACAGATAGAGCAAAAAGTCTCTTCTAAGAACGGCTGGAAGAGTGGGGAGGAACTAGAAAGAAAAAGAGAAGACTTAGGGAGTGTGAGGGTCTCTGTCTTCAACTCCAAGGGCTGCCACGTGCTGGGGAGACTGACTTATTTTGTGAGTTCCTAAAAGCTGAACCAAGGCCAAGGTTGAGGTTACACATGGAGACAGACATTGGGGTTCAAATAACAATTCTGACAATCCACACTCAGAATGTGAAGTCAAGAACTCCCCAGGCTCAGAGAGGCTCAGACGGAGGCCAGAAGAGCATCTGGTGGGAGTTTGAACTGGACAACCTCTAATTGGTAATTGCTTACCAATTGCAAAAGCCAGGGATTCTTTGGTCAAGGAGAAGAGCAGAGGCATGAATGCTGCTGGGTCTCACCTGGAGGCGCTGGGCATCCAAGTTGCCCAATAAACCCAAAGACAATTGTCTGACTTTGGCTAAAAATTCCACTCCACTGCTTGGGAGGCAGCTTCAAGGCCACTAGCAAAGCAGGGACCAGAACAAAAGAGGCTTTTCTGGTCACACCAGAAAAGAACATCCAGCAGCTGAATATCTCCTGAGTTTGGTGTCTCATATATCAGTAAGTGGGTCGCATGCTTTTGTGCAAGTTGGAACACTCAGAATCATAAAACCACAGATTCTAGAATCCTAGATTTAAGCAGCCCTAGAGGCCACTGACCCTGTCTTCCACCAAGTGTAATTAAAATGTTAAGAGATAAGCAGTTTCGCTTCCCACAAAGGGAGTCTAGTCTGCACCCTTGTTAGACACAGTTCGACCCTATATTGAACCAAAATCTGTCATTTCACTCCCAGTACATGGGACTGCACCTTTGGGTATGAATCTCGTATCTCCCTTAGCCTTACGTTTACAAAGCTAAATATACTGGAGTTTCTTTACTATTTATCATTTAACAAGCTAATCATTCTCCTCAAGACTCTCTGTAGTTTGTCAGTCACCTCGTAAAATGCATTATTTAAAATGAGACCAAATATCTTAAACGTGCTCTGACCAATGTGGGAAAATAATGGAAATATAACTACGTGTTAAGGGCATTATAGTTCTCTTAATGCAGCATAAATGTTGTTTTGGCTCCTATTGATTTTACAGTCAACTAAAACCCCACATAAAATTCCATTGAAACAGGCCCCATTCCATATGATTACTATTGGATTTTGGAACTCAATGGTTACGTTTCATCTTGCTGACTTTGTACTGTTCTGTTAGGTTGTCAAAATATTTTTGAACATTGGGACTATCAGCTGCCACACCAGCGTTTCCTGCCAGGTTTGTGTCATTTACAAATCGAATAAACCTGCCTTCTGTGTCTTCATTCAACTCATTGATAAAAACGTTAAAGATGACAGATCATTCACTCAACAAATACTTATCAAGCACCTATAATATGTAAAGCGCTCAGGACAGAAATGAGAGAAGAAATTGTATTTGTACTGGGACAGATCCTAAAATTGTTTGCTTTCTATAAATCCCTAAGATGAGGTGGACTTCTTTCCTTTAAGATTTCATTCAACTCATTAGGTACTTATTGATCAGTTACTTATCTCTGGGCATCATGCTAAGCTTTGTCAAGGGAATAAAGGAATTAAAAGCTACAACCCTGTTCTCTAGAAGCTTGTCCTCTGGTTAGTGAGGCAGGCTTTGGCGCACAAAACATTTTATGATGCAAGACAGACAGCATTTATATAATTGACAAAATGAGTGGTACAGACAATATATTTGATTCTGGTTGAGGCTTTAATGTCATTTCATTTAAAGCTTCAAAATCAATGATAGATTTTTAGAGTTGAAAGGGACAACAGAGGTCTTCAGAACCATCCTCCCCTCCCACTTCACCAATATTAGTTTCAACACGTAGGAGTCTGTCTTTTGAGTAGATTTACTCTTCGTTAGATCTAACAACTTAATGATATCATAACATTCCCTATGTTGAGTCAAAACTGCTCCCCTTTACTTTTCTATCTACAGTGTAAGTACTCAATGATTTTGTTAAATAATTGAATGAATGAATTCTAATTCTGCTCTCTGAAGTTAGAAAAAATAATAGGTCTGATCCAACCATTTGAAGGCAACAATTATGTCTTCATTTAGTATTTACTTTTCTAGCCTAAATATCTACAATTCCGTCATTTGACATGGTCTTGAGACCTCCCCAACCCCCACTATTCTTGTCATTTATACCATGACTCCATGCCTGGCACATAGCAAGCACTCAAGTTATATCTACTGAATGAATATGTGAATCAATGAACCAGAAAGCTCCAGTTTGTCAACATCAGCCTCAGAAAGAAATGCCCAGAACTACTGAACATATTGCTGAAAATGTGGTCAGAAAAGTGGACCTGTTGCAATTCCCTTGCTCTGAACATTATACTTCTATTAATGCTGCTTAGATCTACCTTTTTCTTTTTGTCTTTGAACACAGTCGGGGGGTGGGGTGGCAATACACTAATGGCTCAAATTGAGTTTGTAGCCAATTAAAATCTGCAGTTGGATAACTTAGTGATCAAGCCCACACAACTGTGTACCAAGAAAGGCTAGACCCCAGCATTTATTTCCATGTGAGAAAGAATGGTATGTCCTTCTAGGTGTGCATGTCTTTCTAAGACCATGCTTGTGTTCTGATCACCATAGCACCTAAGCCCTTTGCGAATTTGAAGATTTGGCAGTATTCTGCAGTGGAGGCCGAAGTGAGTGGGCACAGCAGGGCACCTAAAGAGAAAGATAGGATGAGCTGGCCTTATACTAAGTGGAGGCCATGAAGCTCAGTTCAGAATGGGCCCAGATATCCCAGAAGGAGATACTCAGTATGTCAGTGGCAGTGTTCCTGACAAGAAGAAACTTCCCTCAAATTAAAACATCCAGGAAAACTTAAGATCAATGAGCCCAATAGGAGTTGGAATTGTCTTGGCGTCACCTTATTTAGGGCTGCAAGCAGAGTCAGGCAAGAAGAAGCAAGTGGGAGGTAAAGGAAGCAAACACAACTGCTATGAAGAGCCAACACCAGCAGGCATTTGCTAAGCACCAACACTTACTGAACACCAGGCTTCTCAGATGCATGATCCCTTTCATTCCCCCAAATAAAACTGTTAGGAAGGCATGATCATCACCATTTTACAGTTGCGGAGATTGAGGTTCGGAGGTTCAGAAACTTGCCCAGAATCACACAGATATGAGTGGTACAGGATGGGGCCCCCACCTGACTGTCTCCCAAGCTCTTGTACTCCAGCATCGTGCCACAATGCTTCTGTGTCATGTGTTTATTCATTTTTAACAAAGATTTTATCAAGCAACCTCAGTGTCCCAGGCCTGTGCTAAGCCCTGGGAATACAGTGGTAAAAAAGGCACACACCATCTCTCATGGAGCTTAGCACTCTGGCAAGAACAACAAACAGCCAAACAAACAACCACCACAAAGTGAGATCCATGTCTCCGCAGGAGAGGTTAAGGATAAACTCACCCAGCACATGGGAACAAGAGTCTTCTTCAAGGAAGTAGCCCCTAGAGAGAAGCTTAAAGGCTATGCCAGCAAGACAAAAGAGTGAGGGAGAGAGGCAGAGAGGTAATCAACTTTTAGGATGTGGAAGTGAGTGGGAGACACTGATAAGTGCTGGAGTACAAGGAGGCTGAGTGTAGAGTGAGAGGGATCAGAGGCTCCCAAGACGCTGAAGAGATGGGAGAACAAGATTGCAGAGGGCCTGGTAAGCCATGTTAAGGGGTTTGGAACCGGCACTGGCAAGAACTAGTAAGATAACATGGATGTCATCTCATTGGATCTCACAGATTCTTGGAGGAAAAGGGAGGCCAGACTAAGACAGGCGCTGCCCTGTGGGGACTGACACCCTGAAAAGGCATTCCATGCTTAACTTGGGCAGTTTTAATTGAATTTCTCTGGCCTTGTAAAACCTGCTCTATAAAATCTGTGAATCTCTCCTATCTCCTCTCTTCCCCCCAACCCACCCAATGAGAGAGGGTGAAGGTTCAGTGGGTGGAACAAATAGATTCTAGTTCCTTTCTTTATGTGACCCACCAAGACTTAGACAGATTCCAGCTTTCCCATTAGACAGATGAGGAAACAAAGGCTTAGAGCAGTTCAGTGATGGTCACAGACTGAATTATTGGTTCCAATTCCTCATTCCATTTAACAGCATTATGTATCTACTCCCTAGCAGGGCCTTGTGGTGTGTGCAGTGTATTTCCTCTCCCCTTGGACTTTGGGTTTGAGCTTTTAATTGGCTTTAGCCAGTGAAACATTAGTAGACATGATATGAGCAGAGGCTTGAAATGTGCTTGTCTGGTTGGGCATGCCGTCCTGTACTTTTGCCATTGCCAGGAGAAAATCATGCCCTGTAGCTGTTGCATCTCAAGCTTGGACCCCAAAATGAATCACACAGAGCAGACTTGAACCTGGTCTACGATCTAGAGCTCAGCTCAGCTGAGATCAGCAGATTCCCGGCAACTTGAAGACCCTCAGCCTGAAGCAAGTCACTCCCTTTGACCCAGAGACTTGAGAACATGTGAATAAGTGTTTATGGTTGTATGCCATGGAATTCAGGGGTAGTTTGTTATGCAGCATCATTATGGCAATACCTGATTGATAAGAGATTACTCCAAGCTTACAAAGCAACTTCCTGGAATGCACAGAGCTGCCTTGCCATAGAGCTAGGCTGCCCTGGTGGCCAGCCCTCTAGGGAGAGAGCGATGCAGACTGTCACCCCACTCCATTCTCCACCTCCCACACCCTCTGCCCACCCCATGGCACTCACCTGAGTCTGACGCTGCTGGGCTCACCAGGCTGAGCAGCTCCCGCTCTTTCTCATAGTCCCCTTTGCAGAGCAGCTGCCCCTCCTTCAAGACAAACTCATCACCCTTCTGGAGCTGCCGCTCACAGACACAGCAGCAGAAGCAGCTCAGGTGGTACACACTCTTCTGGGCCCGCATCACAAACTCGTTGGGAGCGATGGCCTCAAAGCAGCCCCCACATTTGACAGCAAACAGCCTGGCAGCAGGGGAGGGAGAAAGGGAAAGCAAGGTCTGTGAGAAAGGTCTGGCTTGGGTCCAGGTGTCCCCTCAAGTCAACAGCAAAAGAAACTTCCAGAACTGGGACAAGGATGCTTGGAATGGAACATGCTTCAAACCCAGATGATTTATTCCCTGAGGAGGTTGAACCAAAGAATTCAGTTGAGTTACTCTCCCAAAGGCTTAAGAAAAGCAGAATGAGAGGCACTGGAAGACGTCTGAGCCCAGGGTGTATCTGGTGTGGTCTATGACACAGTGTCCCCAAAGGATGGTCTACAGACTGGTGCCAGGCAGGCTGCCCAGAAGCTCTGGGTGAGCTTATTATTTAAACAAAATGACAATAACCAAAATGTCCAGGCCCAGTCTTATCAGCGTGTAACATGGTGGGTCCCAGAACAGGAATTCTTAACAAGCTCCCCGGGGCATTCTGATGTGTAATCTGGATTTTGAGAAATCAAACTGCATCTCAACTCACAGCCTGACATTCCGTGGATTCAGCCTCTCTCTCAGGACTTAACTCTTATTTCACTTCACTTATTTTGAATAAACCACATAGATGGCATCTACGCCAAGCCAAAGCAGTAGGTACTAGTGATGCGAAGGTGAATAAAAGAAAAATTCTCTCCCAGAAATGAGCTCAGGCTAATGGAAGAGACAGACACGTCCAAATAATTAAAGTAGAGGGCTCCGGGGGCACGGAGGAGGAAACAGCGGTCAGGGAAGGAGCAGGGGGACTTGCACTTTGCTATGTGTTCAATAAATCTTGGTCAAATGAAAGAGGGGAAGGCAGGCAGGTTGGCAGGTATAAAGGGGTGGGAGCAGGGATCCCCAGCAGAGAGAACAGCTTATGCAAAGGCCTGAAGTCGTGAAAGTGCATGGTGTGCTCAGAGCATGGTGTGTTCTCCACCAGGTTGGAGATGGGGGGCGCCTCGAGAGCGGTGGCAGGTGGGGCATGTCATGACCCGACTGCACACCCAGGCAGACATCATCTGGCAAGCAAGAGGGAGTCGTTGAACAATTTTTAACATGGTAAAAGCCCTGTTTTGGAAAAGGAAGTCTGGGCAGTAGGAAAGGGGGAGTGGAAATGGAGTTAGAGAGAAGAGTGAGGGAGAGCAGCTTAGCAGGGACAAAAGTCAGCACTAAGACAGCAGCAGGGAAGCCGGAGAGGAGGGGACAGAACCCACAACCTGGAGACAGGGAAGCACGGGGATCAGCTCCCAGGCTCCTGGTGGTCAGAGCTGCTGGATGATGACAATGTCACCACTCCTGCACACAACGTTCCTGATTTCCTACCTCTGGGCCTATATGTGCCATTCCGCCCTCCTGCAAAGCTCTTCCCTCTCTGTTTAATGTACCTGAATCCAACCTGCCCTTCAGGACATAGCAGCTCCCACCTTCTCCTTGAATCCTGCGCTGACCTCCCCTCCCCGAGTCTGAAGGAACTGCCCCCTACTTTGAACACCTTTACCATGAACTGTCTGTGCTGGTCATTCGGCAGTTACCTGGAGATGTATCAAGACACAAAAGGTAACAGGATCTGGAGGCCTGGGCTCTGCTGCCAGCTCTGCCGAGGCTGTTTCTCCCCTTTGTACCTCCTTTTCTCTGGCTGTTGTTAAAGACATTAGGCCAGACAACCTCTTCCAGCTCCAAAAGTCCTATGATCATTGCATCCGATTGCTGACTTCAAATATCCTAATCTTGTGTTATTATTTAACTCTTCCCATGTTTATAACTTAATCTTGCCAGCAACTTGTATTTCAAGAACAAGGCCTATGGAATATATTTATATGCCCCACAACCTCTTGCACACAGTGGGTATACTCAATAAAAGTTGATCTGATTTGACCCGTGGATCTAACTTGCTCATCCTCTTCTGAAATAACATGTGCTAAGAGCCGAGCATAGGAGCCGACACACAGTAGGTTCTCAATGAAGGTGGCTCTTCTCTTCCTTGACACCCTAGATAAATAAGAGCTCAGAGTAGTCTATGAAGTCTAAAATTTAAAGTACATCTCTCTGTTTCTTTTTTCTTTTTTAAATTGTAACATAATTGCCTTCGGCAAAGCCTTTGGCATAAGCACAGAGATAATATACCCTAAAAATATCTCTGGGATTCACTCATTAGAGCATTCATTTTCCTATTTCCAAAATAAAGAGTTATTTTCTTTTTTAAAGTAATAGCACAATAGGGGGAAAAAGTCTCTCTCAAAACCACTCTCTGTTTGTACCCATATACCAGAGGGGTCAATAGACACAGAAAGGTCAGATGGCATAAGAGAGAGGATGGCGGTGAGCAGAGACAGAATGGGCAGAGTGAGTTCATAAAGGTCCACACCACTTGTGTCTTCACAAAGGCAGACACAAGCTGACTCGGAGAATATCCAGGGAGCTGATGCCACTTTGCTCTGCTCATGAGCCCCACCTTGGCAGGAGCCAACGGACCATGAATAACTGAAGAGCCTTTTCCTATAGACAAGCCAACCACCATGATGGCCTAAGAGTGGCCAATCCCATCTCATTCACTCATTTAGTCTTCTTTTCATTCATTCCAAAAGCTGATTTACATATTCATTCACTCATTTATACTTTTTTTCATTCATTCTTTCATTTATTCAGAAGTATCCACCATGCACTATGCCATACACTCTGTGTCTTAACAAGGAGTGGAGGAAAAGAAACCACCACCAGCAGCATTCATGTACCTAAACAAGTCTATATTGAGAGTCTCTTATGTGTCAGGCACTGTCGTAGGCACAAAATGATACAGAACAAAGTCCCCAACCCCATGGAACTCACATGCTAGTGAGAGAAATAGCAAACAAATAAACCAATGAACAGATAAATGTCCACCTGTAGGGATTTACCTTGGGAAACAGAATATGAGGAGAGTACAAAGCAATGTTTCATGAGTACCAAATAGAATGGCATAAAGTCTGTTTATAATATATTTTTTCTTTTTTTGTTTGTTTATTGCAGTAACATTGGTTTATAACATTGTATAAATTTCAGGTGTACATCATTATGCTTCTATTTCTGCATAGATTACATCACGTTCACCACGCAAATACTAATTACAACCCATCACCACACACATGTGCCGAATTATCCCTTTCGCCCTCCTCCCTCCCCCCTTCCCCTCTGGTAACCACCAATCCAATCTCTGTCTTTATGTGTTTGTTTATTGTTGTTATTATCTACTACTTAATGAAGGAAATCATACGGTAATCACTTCCCAGCTCCAAGCTGCACTAGTTATGACTCTAAGTCTACACATGCGCATAGTGTGTTTATCTTGGAAGCTTCCTGGAGGAAGGGAAGAATTTTGAGGGTGGAGTGAAGAGGAAGTTGAGGAGGAGCTCCCAAGGAGGCATTACACACAGATTGGCACAAGAAAAAGGGAGGCCATTCAGACTCTTTGAGTGAAGGAAGCCAAGGCTTGGAGAAGAGGATGAAATTGCCTCCCATGAATCCACGAGGGAACAGCCTCCCAGGACAGAGGCCAGCCTGCAGGCTGATTCAGCTCGGGATCAGAAGCACATGTGCTGCCTCGCTCTCAATCCATGCCCTGGGCCACCACACCAATCCCTGATGCCCTGGGCCACTGGGAGCACCCTGAAAACACCCATCCTGATATGCCTTCCCTCTGCCTCTCAACTTCAGAATAGAGGGTGAGGTTGGGGGACAGTCCAAGGGGCTGGCGTGTCTCTTTCACCACTGACAAGGTATGCGACAGCCCAAACACAGAACTCCAGGTGCCAGCAGCCTTGCCCCTGCTCCCCCTTCCTCCAGCTGCCCAGTGTGGTTTTGCTCTCCATGTCTGAACCTCGGGGCACACCAGTCCCTTGAACATCTGCCTTTACTCCCTCCCCCTCTGCTGGATGCTGTGCATCGGGCAGAAAATCCACCCAGTTCATCGCCAGCCCCGAGTCCCTAGTCACTATTTGCCAACCTGAGCAAACTAATCAATGCTTTTCCAGGAGCCTGTCAAAGGCCCTTTGTCCCCAAGCCCTCCTTCTCCTCCCCTTCCCCTGGAATGAACTGTTAAACAGACTCAAGGCAAACGCTCCCAGGGAGTCAACAAGCACTTGAGACTCTGCAGCCGCAGGTGGTAGCATCTGTGCTTGTCTAACTTCTACCCTGTTAATCTCCTCCTCTTTCTCCTCCCTTCTTAATTTCATCCCCCACTCCAAAAATTTCCCCCAAGTAGGAGAAGGGAGGGTTGGGGGGATCTCAACAAAGAAAACGCACCATGTTGACTCAGGAGTGGCTGGAGGAAGTGGCGCAATTTGTCTGGGCTCAAATCCTGAAATGGTCACGGTCAGTGGGGATTACAGACCCGGAAGAGCAAGGCAGTCCTGTTTCTTTCCATTCTTCCATCAGCTCTCCCTCTCTGGACAAAGACCAGGTCAACCTCACCTTACCACCTTGGCTCTTGTTACCCACACTAACCCCAGAGCAGTTCGAGGAGAAAAGGCACATGCAGTCCACCACCTGTGTGCCAGATGTGTACACAGCTGTACGGGTACCACTGTGGACCCAGCTGCCGACTACACACCTCCCGCAAGTTGTTTTCTCTAAGGCTCAGACAAGCAGAGAAAGGGATTTGTTCAAAAGTCCAGGTCGTAATTAAAACACAGCCTGTCTCTTCCCAATGCCCTGGATGGCGGCCCCCATGGTTACTTACCCCTCTGAATGCTAATGAGACCTCACTCGGGTTGGGAACCTGGCAGACTGGCTGTGCCCTGGAAAGCCAGGCATGGTTTTCAGGAATGCCCAGCTCTTCTAGGCATACATAACAACTCTTAACTTTTCCCACCATTCTAAATTCTCCTACCCCTAAAAGCTCTTCAAATGATTCCTTATCTCCTTTTTGCATCTCATTCTCTCACCTGTAAAATGGGAATAAGGTTTCCAGCTGGTGGGAAAGCATCCAGAGTGGTACCTGTCCCAGAGACTAAGCCCTCAGGCAGTGCTCTCCTTCCTCTGTTGAATGCCCTTTGTGGGGAAGGCATGGGGATGAAAGATAAAGAAGGCTGCCCTGTTCTCGGGGAGCTCACATGCTGCAGCAGGTAGCAAGTTCCAAACAAACCGCCACAGGAGAGTGTGTTTGGAGTTTGTAAGAAGCAAACAGCCAAAATGGCACAAAGCAGAGACCCATCCACTTGGCTTAGGCTAGGAGTCACTGAATCTTCTCTCTTTTCCTCCCCGCCCTCTCCCCCCACCCCTTCTCCTCCTTATCTGGCCCTTTCCCACTCTCTCTACCAGGCAGGGAAGTAGAGGCTGGCTGAAATTCCATTCAATGTCTTGCCTACATCTCTTCTTGTACAGCCACAAGCTATAAGATGCACAACTTGTAGTTTGGGTGGGAGAGTCTGAGTTGGTAGGCTCCACCACCTCCAAGCAGTCAGTGTGACTTGCAGCTCATCACTTAATCGTCTGCAGCCTCAGTTTGCTCAGATGTAAAAGGCAATAACAATGCCTACATGCCTGGATGAGTGAGGATTAAATGAGAACATGTATGTGGAGTCCTTTGTGACCTATATAAGGTATACACAATTTTTAGGCATTTTTACTTGCCCCACCTGTGTCTTTTGACCTTTGTGGATGTTTTTCTGCCCCAAAGGTGGCTCTCGTGCTTAAGAGTTTCCTGAGCCCTATCCTAAGAGGACACTTCTTCCTCAGCAGTGTGAGCCCTTCTGCCGACTCCTCCCAGCTTTGACAGCAGCATGACTTCATCTTTTAAGAGAGCAGCACTGACCCAGGGGACGAACCCAGGGACGCACTGCTCATGGGCTGCCAGGCAGTACACGCTCCTTAGACACACACCCTCTCACCACAATGAGCCAAGATAATGCAAGCAAAGCAGTGTTTCTTGTAACTGACCTCCAGCCCCCCTGCCCTATGCCAGGTGCCACGGAGGATAGCAAAGAAGAAAAGGAAAGGCAACCTGATTCAGGGAAGAACAGAGGACTTGGAGTAGGAAGACCTGGGCTCAAGGGTTCTTCCTTTAGCAAAGGGCCTCAGAAAAGCCACCGTCTTTCCTTGGGCCTCAGTTTTCTTATCTTTAATGGAAAAGTACTGCCCTAGATCAGTGTTATACTAAGGACTTCGAGGTTGGGGAGGGGTAGGTCTCTATTCCCCATGTCTCCTCACTCCTCACCTTTCAACCAGAGAAGCCCCCTCTGCCTGCACCGAAATCCAGGTCTCCAGAGAGTGTTTTGGCATGACACTGCCTGGCCATAGTAATTCTCCAAAGTCTTTTCCAGAACCACATCATTCATGTATAAATAAATATAAAACAGCTCAGGCCAAAAGGGATTATGAATGGGTATGGACACACATATGAAACACACAGACACACCAGCTAAAACCATCTCTCTCCTTCTCTTTCTCTCTCGCCCCCTCTCTCCCTTCCTCTATCTCTTGATATATATATAGTTCTAAAAAGGATTTACATATTTCTAGAAAAGAAATATTTTGTTTGAATAAAG